GCCACCTAGGGAAAGAGAGGGAAGGGCGAAAAGAGAAAAAGGAAACAAGGATGGGGAAATGATCACTTCCATGGAGGTCATCAAGAACCTGCCATGTGAAATCTAAGTAAAGAGAAGAAGAACAGAGAGAAAGATCAAGACAAGAAAGGGTGCGAGTTCGAGAGTCCAAATGAGTGGGCTCACCAGAATTCAGAAGAGACAGGGAAGAAGAGAGGAGAAACGGCTCAAGGAGGCGACCCCGGGTATTCGTCAGAACGTCACCCCAAAGAGAATGACGACAATTGAAGTCACCCAGCAGGAGCACAGGCTCCGGCAAGGAGTCTAGGAGGTGTTTCAAATCAGGAAGAGAGAGCGGGACACCCGGGGGGAGATAAATGGAACAAACTGTGTACCATTTCCCCACAAAGATACGAGCAGCAGAACAATGGAGAGGCGAAGGAAAAAGTAAAGGAACAAAGGGAACATCAGCCCGAATCAAGAGAGCAGAAGAATTAGAAGCCCCAGCAATGGCTGGGGGGGGGGGGGGGAGAGAAAGGAATAGCCACGAAAACGACCAGGACGAGCACCAAGCATCGGCTCCTGGAGACAGACACAAAGGGGCGAAAACCGCGAAACCAGAAGTTGGAGTTCGAGGAAATTGGCGTAATAACCTCGAACGTTCCATTGAAGAATGGACAACGACGAGAAGAGAAAGGACAAAAACAGAGAACAAGGAAGAAACAAAGGCGAAAGACCAACAGAGCACGTTAAAGAATATCAGGGTCGGGATCAGGGTCAGCAAAGTCAGGGTTAGGGGGCATGGGTAAACTGAGCAAAGACGGAGGGAAGGAAACGGGAGAACAGATCAGAGGTGGGCGGGCAGGGTCCGGAGGAGGAGGAGGAGGAGGAGGAGGAGACAACGGAGAGGAGCAGTCAAGGACAGCAGCAGGAAGAGGGGGAGTAGAAAGAGAGGAGCGCACCCCAGCAAGAGCAGCAACCGAAAGGGAAGCAGGGGCCAAAGAAACCTCCATAGCAGGAACAGGGGGCGCAAGCACTGAAACGGGAGTGGAAGGAGCAACAGAGCCAGAAGGAGGAGCTGAGGAAGAAAGCGAAGCCTTCTTACCCGCCGGGGAAGAGGAAGGAGAGGAGCCAGGCTTACGCTTCTGACTTAAAGAGACCGGTGTCCCAGCAACTACGTACCGGGCAACGGATTCCAGTGTCTCAACAGGAGAAGCCGAACGAGAGCACACACGACGGCCGTTAGGAGAGCGATGGACATCCGCCCGCACCGACAGGCGGCGGGGAGAGCCGATAGACGGAGGAAGAGGATGGGAAGGAGGATCGGAGGGGGACGAGGAAGGAGACACAGAAGACACGACAGACCGGGTAGAAGGAAGGGGAACCCCAGACAGAGGACCAGGAGGAGGATCCTTCGGGAGAGAACCCAAAGGGACAGAGGAGGGGGCAGTGGGCGCATCAGGGTCCAAGGCCTGGAAACGGTTGTGAGTCTGAGGAAGGCGGGAAGGACGAGGAGAGGAAGAGCGCAACACGCGAGCATAAGAGATATTAGCATAAGGCGGGAGCCGGCGAACCTGGCGCCTCGCCTCAGGAAAAGATAAACGCTCCCGGTGCTTCAAGTTGAGGACGGCTGCCTCAAGCTTGTAATGGACACACGCACGGGAGAAGGTAGGATGGGCCTCACCGCAGTTGAGGCAACGAGCCTGGGGAGAAGCGCACTCCGACTTAGAGTGACCTTCGCCACCACACAAAGGACAGAGAGAGACAGTCCCGGAGCAGCGGAGGGCACCATGCCCAAACCTCCAGCACTTGTTGCAGAGCCGAGGAGAAGGAATGTACTCCTGGACAGAGCACCTGGCACCAGCAAGAATGACAGAGGGTGGAAGGGTCCTACCATCAAAGGTAATCTTCACAACCCGGAGGGGCTGACGGCGACTACCACGAGGGGGACGAGTAAACGTGTCCACCTGGAGAATAGAATGGCCCTGGGCAGCGAGGATATGTCGAATATCGTCGTGGCAGTCGCGTAGGTCCCGAACACCGGTCGCAACATGGGGCGGGAGCAAAATAGTGCCAACACTGGCATTCAACTGGACGTTCTTCGAGACCCGAACGGGGGTCTCGCCAAGGCAGGATAAGGCAGCCAAGCGGGAAGCAGCATCCTGAGAAGGAGCAGCAACGACACGCGTACCGAGACGAGTGGGGTTAAAAGTAATGGAGGCATCCACGGAATCAATGAGATGTCGATGAAGGGAGAAATCGTCAGGAGGCGCAGAATCAAGAGGGAGGAGATCAAAATATTTGGCCCACGAAGCGGGACCAAACAAGGCTTGATAGGTAGCAGAACTGGAAGGAATCGAGCGAGGGCGGCCGTGACGAGAACGGCGGTGAGAACCCCCAGAGAGAGAGGGGTTAAAAGGCGCAGTAGTAACAACTAGAGAAGGAGCCGCGCCAGGGGACGAGGTAGTCACCACTGGGGGCTTGGGGCTCGACCCAACCACAGAGGAGGGAGGGGAGCCAGGGGAAGGAGTCAGAGAGGCCAAAGGAGGAGCAAGGTCGGGGCCCAATGCAGCGGAGGCTACAGAGCCCGGTCTTCCAATACGGACCGACTCGGGGGCTTGGTCGCCCACCCCACGAGCCTGAAAAGGTAAGCCAGAAACAGCCGAAACAGGGGTTATCATCTTGACGAAATTACGAATTCACTCACGAATGTGCCCCCACACCCACCATGGAGCCACAATTAGAGGCAGGACACCCAACAAGAAGCTATCGCCGATCTTGTCGGGGCCTCCTAGGGGTGCGTCGTGAGTATACGCCCCACAAACGCCACCTTAAGAAACCGACAGTCCGTCGAGATCGGGTTCAGTGACGAAGTGGGGATTGACAATAAAAGGTTCCCCTCGCTCTCGACGTCGGGTACCGCAGTTCTACGGGTGCAAGAGTATGCCTCCTCAAGCACCCGGGCGTCAAAGTAGAAGAAGTCCAAGGGAAGAACCAGAACGAGCAAAAGGTCGGCAGGAAACGGCAAGCAGATAGGAGAAGAGGGGGGAGAAAAACGAAACAGAAGGAAAAGGAAAAGATGCCCAGCAGAATTGGAGAGGACGGCAGCAGGAGCACAAGGCTAGAAAAGGACAGAGGACTGTCCCAAGGAGCATCACACTCCGGCAGCCGCCCACTAAGCCCCCAGACCCCAGACGGCGACAACGAGCTGAGCGGGGAGGGGGTGGCCCGCCCACTAGGGCGTGCACACCGTTCTGTGTCAGGAACCACACCGAGACCCGCGGAGGGTGGCTCCGCAAGGGCCCTAGAGCCCCCACCAACCGGAACAGGAGCAGAGGCCCCCCGCTTCACATCCTTCGTCAACACCACCACAAGGTCGCTCTTACCAGGGACAACAGCCCACTGAGGGGAGCCACCAGCAGGAGGCACAGCATCCAACTCAGAAGGCACCACAGGAGGCAACACAGCGTCGGCCACATCAACATCCTCCATTTCATCCCGCTCCTCTGCCCACGACCGGCGAGGTGACGCACCCCGAGCCGAGCGACGGCGCTTAAACAGAGGCTGCTGATCGTCGGAGCTGTCACCCCCAACAAGCGGTGACCCAGAAGGACCATCGACAGGCGGCACCAAAATCGGGGCAGCACGTTCCCGCAGAACAACAGCCTCAACAACGCGGGGCAAAAAGCCACCACTAGGAACGGAGACCGGAGTCTGAGAAGGAAGAGACAACAGGCGGAAGGGAAGACGTTTGCACACGTGAGGTATCCAGGGATGGCGACCATACCACCGCACCGTCAGCCCCGGGAAGCACACGGCCTCCAGCAAGAGACTCAGGCACCACCCCTACAGCATCCCCCAAGGTCACCGGATGCGGATGCACGTCCACAGGCATCGAACGATGAAGGTCCGAAACAGGCGCCCCTAGGTCCCCCCGAGCTCACCGGCGGGGCAGACACATCCTGTCCAGACGCATCGACATCCGGAACCGCCGCAGGATCCACACCAGGCACGAGCACAGAGCGAGAATCCGCCGGGGAGTCCACACGCACAGATAAGCGAGGAAAATCATCCTCTAGGAAAACTGAAGGGGCATCTGTATGAGGAGCGTCACAACCGGCCGCGACGTGGCCCTCAGCACCACACCGGAAACACGTCCGGGTCTGCCCCTGATAGAATGTCCTCAGAGACAGCCCACGAAAAGAGACCCTGGACGGTATAGGGCTTGTGAGCCGCATGACAAGCGTGCGTGAACCCAACCGGACCCCCTTCAGTCGGCCCGCACTCAAAGTGTTGAACCGGTGCTTCACCACCGACCCAAACCGCGTAAACAAGGCCGAGGGCCGCCAAGGGGAAGGTCACCGGCATGCCGTGAATACTCACAAACGTCAAGGGCCCCCAGGGATCAGAGATCTCTACAGACACAGCCGAATCCGGAAGAGGAAGCGCGCGGCCATTCCAGCGGGCCACAAACTCCCGGTATACAGTTGACTTGGCGAACGACACCGCAACACGGGCGGGCGACAACTTCTCTAGGCCCAGGAGCTCGGGGACATCAACACGGAGGACGTCGAGGAGGGCAACTTCTACAACGGGCCAACCCACATCAACAGAAAAATCCAGCCACACTGTGTCTAGTCTTCTGATACGGCTAGTACCAGCCCCGTCCATACTGGCAGGTGGGGCCCCGACCAGCGGGAGCTCCACACCCCCTCACAGCAACCGCCACTCAGCAACGGCAAACGACCACTGACAGCCAGAGCTCGACGTCTGCACCCTCTGGTGGCGCAGCCAGGAATCTACTGACTGAGAACTGGTTGCTTCCACAGGCTACATACAAATAATCGACAGAACTTAAACACTGAATCGACAATTGCCTGTGGATAAGCTGAAAGAATTGCAGTTACTTATTCATAACCAGGGGAGTTTAGCAGCTGGATTATCAGTTATCTGGCCTTTCTATAGGAGTACGGATTGTAATTATTTGTTCATGTTCACAGTACCTTGGCGCAGATTAGAGAAAGTGCTTCCAACTGGTACTTGTCGGCCAGCAGGTACACTTGGCAGGCTCCAGCCACACCTGGGAGGTCTGTCGTATTGTGGTAGAGATGATTAATGATCCACTCTATGGCGTACGGCGAGTCGTCGGGCAGCAGGAGGGTGTCGTCCTCCCCCGCCGGCAACTCCTTCAACATCGTCTCAAACACGGGCGAGCTCATACTTAACACCAGCCGGTGTACCTGGCCACACACATTTAATAACTTATTATTGGCAAATGTTGTCGTTATAATCAGTTTAGAAATGTAAATTTTGTAAACCTAAACTTCCTTGCAAATTTGTCTTTTGTAACGAAAATCAGCTGCTTAACTATGTTTAGTTAATTCGAGAATGCACAGGTAGATTAAGCAGTTTTAATTCTTAAAATTACTACATAAATTTCAAAGCATGAAACGTGGAAAAACCCTGATCTTCGAATGACCATTTAGACATTATCTAAAAATAACTTTTGAAGTGGCTGTTCTCACTTCCACAAAGGATTACACTAACCCAATGGGAAAGTATGCTGGTTTCGAATTTCTTGCCTTTGCCATACAAGATAATTACCGAAAATTGGTATGGCAAATGAATTCATTTGAATCCAAGCTAACGAACAGATGCTGAAGCACTTCTAACTTATGCCACAACTAGCATTGTCACAAACTTATTAAAAATTAGCTCACTGTTTAGACATCATACCTTTTCAACTTTTACTTTCAAAGTCAAACTCATTTCGGTCATTACCAATATTATTGTACGTTCAAAATTAAAAAAAGATCAAAACAGTTTACCTGTGAATAGTTAAATTGCAATTTAAAATTTTTAGTTTTTTAACTATATTTTAGCATTTTTAACCAATTAATAAGCAAAATTAACGCAGACGTTGCCCTTACGAGCTACTGGAAGGTGGTCCTCTCACACCATTCACCAAGGACTGATTGACATCTGTACAACTTACAACTAATGTACGATCTACATTAAGGTAGATCTCCCCTAAAGTTACCTTATTTAAAGTAACTGGCTCCCTAAAACTCTTAAATTAAAACTATTAAGTTCCTCTCGTCACCTTAAGCTTTTTCTTCTCCATAGGGAAGGCGATGGTGAGGTCTGACAGCTGCCCCTTCGTCCTCAGGCAAGACAGCCGCTGCTCGGGACTTCCAAGTTGACACTGCCACGACCGCCTTGACAGCTTAGTATCCCGTGCTGGGATGTGCAGATCTGACAAGCTTGGAAGTGCAGAGAGAATGACATCAGTCAAGCACAATATTTTCGCGACTCACAGCGATTGATTTAAATATAGTTTAAAGCCAAGATACACAATGTGTTGGCCTCCAGAGTACTTCAACACGTATCGCGACAATAGTCCGGTCAAGGATTATAGCATTTGTGCGCCCAGTTGCGAAACCTGTGGATCTTTCCTCATATCTGGCGGCTTTGTTTATTTTTTTGTGAAACGTTAATCAGGATCAAAACTTAACGAGGTGGTCTTTAACAACCTCGAATTCCGAAGTTTACAAATTCGTGAATATTTTAATAAGTTTAGCAAGCCTCCATTATTGAGAATAGATGTACGTGTTTCGTAGTTGGCCACAAACACCTAATACACCCCTGAGCCTGGTGTATCCAGGTGAAACGTCAGTGCTGCTAGACTAACTTCTGCAACAAAAGACCACAACCTTCTAAAAGTGTCTACCAATCAAACAATTTAACAAAATCAGCTGGGCATATTTCAGTCACATGAATATGGTGTAATCCTTATACCATTTTCTTATTAAAGATTTATTACTGGCGTCCAGTGCATTTATTGGTGCTACACTAATACATCCTAGAGCAGGTTACTCAGAGGAAGAAAGTCAATCTGGCACCTCGGCTGTTAAAAGCAGGTTAACTAATTTATTCTTATAGGGCAACAATTTACTCAAAAATCTGAAATGGTTACGCCAGTATTATCATTGTTGTGCTGTAGCCGTTGCATGTTGCATCCTGGTGTCAATGATTCAATGACTGGTTCCAAGTATTTGCATTGTGCTATATTCTGATATTCTGTGCCTCGAGAAACAATGAAAAAGATATGTAGTCTAATGCAAAGGCAGTTCGGAACACTAAGGCAGTCTTTCATTAAAGCCTTGCCTTATAAGTTATGTCAGTCTTTTTTTGGGCATCATTCTATCTTTTCTTTCTTAAAACAGCACCCCAAACAAATGATGTTAAATAAATGTGAATATTACGCTTACTTACTCATAAGTCAGAGAAGGAATTCCCGATTCAAATTGTGTGGTGGAGCTGCACTCTGGTGTGCTATTTTCGCCAAAAGTTGTCGATGACATTTTTTATGCTGAAACTAATTGAAGAAGCAGACCTTCACTCAGCCCCAGGGACGTGTGACAGGTGTAGAGAGGGCCGGAGAGTACTGTAGTAGTTGGCGATGAAAACAGATTACCAGCACCTTAAACAAGAGCGGAAGCTCCACACACAAAGTTAGGACGCCCTTTCCCCGAAGTTTCATCAGTGCCATCTGTGGGTTGGATTACCAGCTAAAGTCATTATCTAATTATAAATGTTATATAGGAATTGCTGTTACAATGACTGTTAGGTGTGCATTTCCGTCTTTCCCTCAAATTGAAGGATGATTTGTCATTATAATATATTATATTAAATGATAAACCTGAATAGTACATAGGCCTCACTTTAAATACTTGTAAGTTCCAAATGCCCTTGCTGGGGCTCGAACCTCCGCTCGCGAGCAAAGCCAAGTGCTGTACCACTGTACCACCTCATTACAAAGCCGAGTACTGTACCACCACACTACAAAGCTGTGTGCTGTACCACTGTTCCACCTCACTACAAAGCCGAGTGCTGTACCATTGAACCACCTCACTACAAAGCCGAGTATTGTACTATTGCACAATCTCACTACAAAAGGATGGGAGAGTTTTTATGCTCATTTTACCTCATGCTTGAGTGCATTCGGGTTATGTGGTCAACTATTTCATTTAGGTTTAGGCCACAGACCCCATAATATCAAATGATAACCCTGAATAATACACAAACTTCACTTTAAATACTTGAAAGTTCCTAATGGACTTGCTGGGAAGGGCAATATATAATTATATTATATATATTGGGGGAGTACCCGGCATTGCTCGGGTCTGTCTGCGTTTCCCCTCTTTCTCTCGTTAGCTATATCTTCGTACTGTCCTTCTTACTCATCTCCAGCATCCTCTCTCATGAAACACTGACATGTAGGGTCTTAGATGCATTGCTTTTTCTTTCTCTGCTTTATTTTTTTAAATTAATACACTAGCTGTACCCGGCCACGCGTTGCTGTGGCTCAGCAACGCATGTGCGTTGCTGAGCCACAACAATCTTTCCCTGTCCCCCAGTCCTCCTCACCATTCCGCCCTGCCCCATTTCCTATCCACCCAACTATTCCCCACTCCTCAGTCCTCTCATCCTCCCAACCATTCCCCTCTCCCCCACCCTCTCGTCCTCCCCACCATTCCCCCCTCCCGCGTCCTCTTGTTTTTCCCACCATCCACTCACTCCACCGTCCCCTTGTCCTCCCCACCATTCCCCACTCCATTATCCCCTCGTCCTGCCCACCATTCTCCCACTCCTCCCCCGTCCCCTCGTCCTTCCTACCATTGCCCCCTCCCCTGTCCCCTCTTCCTCCCTCACCATTCCCCACTGCTCTGTCTTCTTGTCCTCCCCACCATTATTTATTCCACCCTCCCCTCGTCCCGACCATCCCCAACTCCCCCATACTCTCGTCCTCCCTCCATTCCTACTCTGTCCCCTCGTTGTCCCCCACTCCCATCCTCTCGTCCTCCCCACCATTCCCCACTCCCTTGTCCAATGCATTCCCATATGATCTGGTATTCCCTTCAGAAAATTTGGAACAACAAATAATCTGATGTTCCAATCACTGAAAATTAAGAGAGCCAGTCGGCCGAGCGGACAGCACGCTGGGCTTGTGATCCTGTGGTCCTGGGTTCGATCCCAGGCGCCGGCGAGAAACAATGGGCAGAGTTTCTTTCACCCTATGCCCCTGTTACCTAGCAGTAAATAGGTATCTGGGTGTTAGTCAGCTGTCACGGGCTGCTTCCTGGGGGTGGAGGCCTGGTCGAGGACCGGGCCGCGGGGACACTAAAAAGCCCCGAAATCATCTAAAGATAACTAAAGAAAGAACAGTAAGAAACCAAATGAAAAACAATGAAATAATTATAAAATAAACTATACTCATGAAATGAATGAAATGGTCAACAACACAGCTCAATTCTAAGGCAATGTCACACAAAATAATGAAATAAAAATGAAAATAAATCGAAATCGATGAAATTTCAATTTATCAATGCAATCAGAAACATTGAAATGGAATCGTAGCATATTTAGTATTGTGGGTGTTCCTCCTGTGTACAACAGATGGCGCTGTTTTTTAAACAAAGCATGGTTTTACCTGTCACAGGTGTGGCATCTATACTTATTCTCACGAAATGAACGTCATTGTAAACAACACAGCTCAATTCCAACGCAATGTCCAACAAAATCTATATAAATAAATATGGAAATGTTCGTTTGTTCAAAATCGCTAATCTCCGTAAGTTCTTCACCGATTGCTTTGAAATTTTCACACAATGTCCCATTCGCATCCGAGCAGGTTTTTATGTGCATATTATGTGGATGTCCCGTCTGTGGGATATTTGGGTTTGATTCTGATTAATTAATAATTAAAGTAGTAAATTAAATTACGAAGGACCACCCGCTTTTAAAGTAAAGAGGGAAACTGAGAATTTCAGATCATTAGATAAAATTCTAGAGAAAACCAGTGACTATGGATATGACTAGAAAGTATGATCATAAGAATAATTAATGGGCTGTATTATTAAAAAACCAAACCTCAAACACCTACATTGGGGGGTTATTACTGGAGGTCAGTACGTCCAGGAATCAGTGTGGTTCGTTCACTAATTCAATTAATAATAATCTAATCCTATAAATAATGTTGAATATAATATTATTCATACAAAGAAGAACATGAATATGAGCATAGTAATGAGTTACAGTAAATCACACATTATGTTGAACATTCTGAATGTATCAAATTGCTAAAATATAGGAAAAAGAAATAAGCCTTAGCTTGTAGTAGGTTCCTTTAGATAACTCTGGAAGTCCTCTTAATCTCCAAGTCTGGCACATTGACGAATGGCACGATTAACATGGAGAAGGCAGCATGAGGAATCCGTCTCTCAAGCTGCAAGATAAATAACTACCAGTAGCAATTGATTTAACTACTCAATTCATATTCAAGATTATTGATATCTACAGATAGAATTCTAATCACCTGTTATTAGGTGTTGTCTTGCCGCGTGACGTGCAATCACCCCGCTATTAATAAACTTATAAATGATGCATCAAATAAAAGGTACTTAGCTGTGGGCACTGTGTAAGTATTAAGATTGCCGTAATTACGCATCCCAAGTTCCGGTGAACCTATCCTGGATTGATGCGTTTCAAGTTGGCTGATCACGTGTCGTCAGGAACCAAGTCTAGGGGTCCCTCTTTAACACCAGCACTAGTTGAAGATATTATCTGCAAGGTCGTTCACGCCTCACAGTGGCGGCTTTCATCTGTGGATGGACACACTTGTCCTATTTGCTGGACAATGGCGTCTTTTGTGAGTACGGTAAGCGTAGCTTTGCCTCCTTCTGGCCTTGCACGTGTCCGCTTCCCGACTGAGGATGGCGTCCCCCAACCCACGCCCAGTCGACGTTCACAACACAAATTATTGTCTTGAACATTAATATTTCTCGCATTCGCGCTTGAAACTCTAAAGACTGGACGGGTTTATTATTTAGAGGAACGGAATATTATTATTTAACTATTTAAGAATAGTAAAGATATAAGGGAGAGGAATTAATGTCTCCCCATAGCATTCATTGATGACGTTACCTCTATCGCGAGGTAGACGTTTTGATTCTAAAGCTCTATTCGGCTTTTAGTTAGAGAACCATTCGTCTGCAATCAGTTGCCATACAGAATGCTTTAATTATGGAGAATCGTATTTAATTCTCACACAAATTGTATATAATGTGTTTTACTGTAAAGAAATCTGACGCAATACTGGCGTCAGGTGACGTGAGAATTCTAGCCTAATGCACAGATGAATTATTAGTACATGAGAATTCTACGAGTTGTTACTTTTACTTACTACAATATTAATATGGTTAGTAATAAGTAATGAGAATACAACAATGCTGTATTCGATGTTGGAAATATCCAACATAACTCCGGGGGGGGATTCCCAGGGTCGCAGTGTACTGTGTTGTACTGACCTATCCCGAAGTGATATTAAGATTAACACATTAGTATGTTAGTAGGTTAGTATGTTAGTACACACATAACGAACGTCCCGGATTTATCAAGGACTTACAAGAATTTGAGTCTTGTTATTCACATGTCAACTGAAACATGTTGTTTGTAGCCTACACAATATTTATAAATTTAACTCTCCCAATTTAAACTAACAGAATCTACAGTGATGCGATATCTTGGGTCATAGTGACGTGTAATGTTTCGTTACATGATATCACATCGTAGTATCAGTACAGTTTTCTTAGTGGGAAATGAAGGAAATTATTCTTCTTCAGAGTTATAATAGGCTCGCAAATTCCGCCTACATTGTTGAGCTGCAGCTCTAGTGGGACGGTTGCTTGGAGGAGCAAATTCATTGTCCTCTGAAATTACTGGGGAAACTGGATCTGACTGATATTCTTGTTCAGTCAATTCTAGGGGAACCAGCTTCTCTAAAGTTTTTAGAGTAGTGTTGCCCTTGCACAAGACTTTAACCACTCTTAGGACACCTTGTCGATCTGGGTGGATGGTGACGATTTTTCCTATAGGCCACTCGGACCTTGGCCCATCACTGTCGACTAGTACAAGGTCTCCAGGTTTTAATTGTACCTTATTGTAAGGACTCGAAGCTCCGTAGTGGTATTCTCGTAGAGCTGTGAGGTATTCTCGAGTCCACACCTCATTCCACCTGTTGATAACTCTAGAAAGATGTTGGTAGCTTTCCACCAAGTCTCCTCTGGTCACATGGGATGGGTCTACAGGGTCCTCTTCGGCTAAGGGGATGAGAGGGCTCAGTAGACCTCCATGGATCAAGTGAGAGGGGCTCAGTGGTTCTCTCTGGGTGTAATCATCAGACAGGTAGGTGATCGGGCGGTTATTGACTCGCGCCTCGATTTCCACAACAATAGTTTGGAGTTCTGAGTAACTGACCTTTTGTCGGTGCAACGTTTTCCTTAGACATCTTTTGACTGTGCCTACCATTCGCTCATAGAACCCACCTTGCCAAGGGGCTCTTGGTGCTATGAATTTCCAGTGACATTGTCTTTTTTGTAAGACTGATTGCACTTCA